CCTCATCTGGTGAGATCGACCAACGAATCTCTTCTTCATGCACTTTCATACGAAATGAATGTCCCTCTAATAAGTATTCTCAGTTAGTTATCAGTTTATTTACTATCGTTTAATTATTAACTATTAACTATAATAATTATTTAATTAACTGTTGATATTGTGTTTATCGTTTTACTATTAGCGAGGTATTAAAAGGTCAACTTTTATTTAATTGCTACTTAATGAATAGTTAGTTAATAATTTTTATTTATTTATTATTTAGTCATTGGCTACCACTTAATTATTAAATTAATAACTGTAAATCAATTGTTTATTTATTAAATATAAATGAATGGTTAATAGATAAATAGTATTATGAGAAAAACTTTTGGGAAAGCTAGGCTATGTGAAATTCAATGCAAATGTCAACTCTACTGGTATCATTTTGTGAAGCTTCTTCTACCAGTCCTTCATTAGCTTAAAAAAAATTGGGTGAATACATATCATACTACTTATTTACTGTTAGTCTCGAAATAATACTTGTATGAAAAAAATAAAGATAAATAGTAGTTTCATAACTAATAAATTATTACTTTGGACTATGTCTATGTTAATAATCATTATTTATTTATTTATTTATAGGGTTTTAATTAATAAATAATTACATAATTGTTAATAGTTGTTTGACCTTGTTTTCGCAACTTCGTCATATTGTCAGGAATACATAGAGGAACGCACCTTGTCCATAGTCTATAGTATGCATGATAATTTTCAGATTCGGAAGTTGGACTTGGTTGTTTTTCTAAACATTTCGCCAACATCGTAGATGAGCGTAGCTATGCTTAGCACGACATTACAACTCGTCGAAAAAAAAACAACTTAAGTCGGTATTTTGACCACGCCATCTCGGTCTTCATATCTTTCATTAATAATTGTTAATTGATTATAAATTTGTTAGTTTACAATTAATATCAATTCCGTCCAACATCTGGTGCTTTATGTGTACTTGTTTCAGAGCCGTGTCGGAATGTTTCAGCGAATCTCACTGCTTTCGCCGAACGCCTGCCAAAGCCTGCTTATCCGCTACTTCGACAGGGTGGTTGAGTTACGCTGTGCCGAGAAGTCGAGTCTTATTGCCCAAGAGCGAGTGAGGCTGCAGCTGGACGAGCAGAAACAGACAATATACAACCTGGAACGAGCTCTCCGCCATCAGGTAGGCATTCGGGCCTGGCAGTTTGCCATATGATGCCAGGACGTGTCATTAGTTTACATTTTATTCAATGCAAACTTTTTAATGAGATGTAGTGCTGCTTTCAAGCTTCCGAAACGAATCTGTTTTGGGGATTAAGCATGCAAATTTATGGTCAGTTAATGGCAAAATGTTGATAAGGTCAGGTTACAAAAAAGTGATGCAAACAAAAATAGTCCTCGTTGACGCTTATTCGGCATCGCCAGCCAAAAAGCAGATTCTCACTCGCTTCAATCGGCTTGAAATGGCATTCTATTGCCACTCTTTGCGCATGGTCAGCGTTCGAGTCCCGTTTTTAGCGAGCTTGAAACCACTCGTCACCTTACCCCACTTGTGATGAGATGACCTGTTTGTGCGGCAAGACTGAAACTAAGAATGCTTATGTGATACTTGAATGACAACTTTGCACTTTGGTCGGATGGTAAGGAAAATTTAGATAAATTCCTCAACTTTATGAACCAACTTTAAGAATTAATTAATTTCGCAGTTGGGGTGGAGGAATATGAGCTACTACCTTTTCTGGATGTTGAGTTTATTTGCCCTGAAGAAATAGTTAAGAGGAGAATATTCAGAAAGAATTCATATGCGGGAATAATCCTCAATTTCCAATCTAATCACAATTATGTGCGGAAGATCGGAATACTGATGAGTATGATTATCAAAAGCTTAAGACTAACGGACACTGAGTTCTAGGACGAAGATTTGGACAAACTGATTAACATTTGTCTTGACACTAGGTAAAAAATAAAGGTGTCATAAAGTGTAGGTTTCAACTAGAAGTTCATGAAAATAAGTTCAGCAATCAGAGGACGACCTAAAGT